CTATCATTGATTACTATAAATTATTTCGTTCTAATCATTATACTATTATATGTTATGTACTTTATCTATCGAATTTATTCTATTTTATTCATATTGAATTCAAAATTACTGGCTTATCCTCATTTGTATTTCCTTTCACATTAACTTTTTACACTATTTTTTATTTCTATCCTTAACTCTAGAATATCATTCATTATTATCGAAAACTTGGAAGAATTATCAATGCTCAATATTTTGAAGGGAATTCTCAGCTGGACAGTACTCTGACCGTTACTTAAACTTATTTCTAAGTATTCTTTTTTTTCATTTCTTTCCACAAAATTCGTCTGGTGGCCAAAATGGTGCCTAGTGAATACTTTGTCATTGAGGTAACCCATCCAGGAACGCAGAAGTGGGAGGCTGAGCTGTTCTCCGCTTCAACAACCAGATTTCTGCGGTATACATGTGGGAGTCCTAAGGATGGTTTTAAATGGACACCAGGTTGAAATGGAAGGGCATTTCATCCTGCTGAGTAAATAAGATCATATACAAAGTCTTCAGTGTTGGCCTTACTTCTTTGCACTCACGAAATCATTCTCCTACTTCTTTAAATTCATAAAATCATTTTCCTTTCAGAATTAAGATGATCCATTATTTTCAAGCGCTGGCAGAGTGCAGAACAATTCAAGCCTTCTCATAACTTTACAAATAAAAATTTATGTTTATCAATCATTTCAATGAGGTGAGACGTACTTAGCCGAAACGGGTTGCCATCTTCGATTCCAGCTTGGCTCTCTGCCTAAAACATCCCCTTTACGCTGTCTCTTCTTATTCTTGAGCTGCATGCGGGAAGAAAATAGGCATCTATAGACAAATTTGTGGCATCCTCGGTCATGGGTCAGTTTCTTGATGAAAAATCACTCTTGCTGTGAGATGGGCTCATGAACTAGGGATATGATTCAGTATCCAGTTGAATCATGAAGGTGGGAGACAGCATATCTGACAAGAGTAGAAGTTTCAAAATTGGCTGGCTTAGCACTAGGCTGTTTATTCTAAAACTCCCGTCGCCAGTATGGAGGACACGTGTGCTTTGTGATAGTTTTGATATTAATTGAAATGTCCTTCTCTCACGAAGAGATGCTGCCCTTTCCAAACTCGGTCCAATCATTTTCTTGCGTGACACTTACCATGAATTGTTGCCAAGGGTAGCACCACTTCGCTTGAATTGGTAGCCCTAGGAAGTGGCATTCCTGATGGGATTGAGGTTTTCATTCCTCCCGTGAAGAGGCATTCTTCGATTCTAATTTTACTTTTCACCCTTTTCTTTTCACCCAATCTCTCAGACAGAAGAATGTTATGCCGGATATATCTGAAATAGCATTTAATTGATGGTTTTTTGTAGGAAATATGTTTTGGAAATGCTAATTGTTTTCATATTTTTATAGTATTACGGTAACTAGCAACATGAGCCTATGCGGTTGCGACCTTCAGTTTACCATACCCAAAAAGTTGATGATCGACCTGTAGATAGGAAGAAGTACTGAGTACTCCCTCCCAGAGTCATTCCCTCAGTGTAAGGGATAGCATGCTAGAACTCTATAAGAACGAAGGAACGCCAAAATGAATCAAGCAGAAAGAGCTGCAAGTCCGGAGGTCTAAGCTGTTGTTTGGTAATCATATGTCTTGAGAGAGTAAGCCTGACCGTAGGTCCCCCAGTTTTAAGTACCGAGGTGTGAACTTTAAAAGGCCAGAGACAGTAAAAGGGTGGGAGAGGACCTCATTTTTGTAGTTAGGGACTCAATTTATCTCCAGATTTCTATTTCCAAATCTGTGCCGCCGAGAAATTGCTTCTACTGGAATGGTTCGTGAGCAAGACTAGAAGAATAGCCTAATTTCGGTTCCAAACTGGATCTTAATTAGTACTCACAACAAAAAAAAATACATTAAGGTTCTGCTTAATGGTCTCCAAGTGTTTTCGTTTGAAAATCTCACTAATTGAGCCCAAGCAGTAGGCCATCACTCAGTCTGCAGTTCCCCCATTCTCTCCTGGGAAACTGGGAATGAACCCAAACAGTAGCAGTGTCCGCTGTTCCATAATGTGATGGGATTCAATTCGAACTTGAGGCTAGCAGTGACTGACACTTTCCCATTCGCCTGACTCTCCATAATCGCACAAATCTGATCGCATAAATTGCCGAATCCCTTGGGCCAAGTCCATCCTGCTCAACCCTAATTCCTCGTCTTTGAGTGACAGTAGGTTTTCTGCATGGATACCTGTTGGTGATGGTTGTCCAAAGCTCAAAAAGTGGTCGAATATGCTTCAAAGCTTCTTAGACATCTTGTTTATCCATTTCACCAGGACGAGCCACCAGTGCCCTTGAGCTTCTGGATTTGGATTTGCTTCTTTCCGCTTCTACTATCGTTTCTTTGACTGGTGTGCCGAAAAAGGGCAGCTAGAGATTCGTGACATTCCGTAAGCACGTTTAATGCACTACGGTTGTTGAATTATTCATAGGATACATGCATTCGAAGGTTTTCTTCTTAATTCATAAAATTTTAATGTGTCACACATGTGTACTTCCTTTGTGCCATGCATCCATTCCAGATTTTTCCCCTAGGCTGTTACACCACTGGGTGTGGCATGTCGAGTTACCAATCGCTGTTCTTGAAGCTGTATTTGCTAGAGTTTATTAGAGTTTTTCGATAAGGAAGGATTACTCAAGTGATCTTCAGCAGTGCTAGCCATAGCTGATGAATTCGGACCTGGATGAATCTGATCTGAATCTTCTATCGGGGAATGACTGTAGGACTTTCTCAGAAATCGCCTTCTTGTAGATTTTTTTTCTCTGGTCTCATCGTTGGTTGCGAAAAAATTTCAAGAATTAAAGGTCCTGATTCCTGGAAAAGAGGGATGAAGGAGATGGGAAAGGTACCGAACTTATGAACCCCTAGTGCTTTCAAATGTCGAACCAGCTCAGTAAGGACAAAGAGAAGATGAATCCAGAAAGGGGATAAAATCACTGTTCATGGGGTAAAGAACTGAAGAAAATGCTCGCTGTGGGTGAACGGAAGGCACATTCAGGAGCAGCAGGAGTTCCAGAGCATTAGCTCAACCAAAACGAGGAACTCTTCGATGTGTCTTGAATGTCGCTGTCCGAACGACTTGAATAGGCCGTCAGGCCTCTAAGGGAATTTCCTTTTTCTCTCAATCTTCTCCCTCTTCAACATCCCGTAGCCGTTTTCCTCGGTGTCTGAGTGTGTCTGAATCAAATTCATTTTTGCTTTCTCCTTCACTTTTTTCTGACAAATTTACTGATCACACCCTAAATCTCCCTTGACTGCTGGAGTGAATCAGCTTACACAGTCGAAGAGTGTTTTCCATTTCGAATTGGCAAATCTTACCATTATACGTAGCCCTTTTGTTGATATCGCAAATAGCTGTTTTCACCCCTGCACTAGTGATCTACTGCCTAACTTTTCTGAGTGGGAGGAAGGGGAGGGTAAGAGTCTCAGAGGGACCAAGCAGACGGCCTTACGTGTAAGATGTTCACGCCTCCAGCTATTTTGCTACTAGTAGCAGCCGGTCTTGAGATTCCTGTGGAGGTTGCTCCCTTCAGAGTTCTCTGGAGGCTGTGTTTGGTGATTCACCACCAAAACAATTGCAGGGCGCGAACCAGCATTCGCACGTGCTTCTATAATTAAACTACGAAACTCTCACAAATATATAAATATAATACTGAGAATTCGCTAAGTAGTAATCACCGTTTTTCGTCGTCTTTTCGCAGCTCTTGTTCCTAAGGTCTTGCGACTTTTTTAGAAAATTTCTTTCTGTGAATTTTAGAAGAACTTCACTTGCAAGGCGATTTCAAAGATCTATCTAAATACTTGCGAAGACGGTTGAGGATGCTTTTCTCATTTTACGGACTGAATCCTTGTCAAGCACTTACTAGACACGGAAGACGGCCAGATGACAAGTACACATGCTTCCGTAAAGCCTCTAAAATGCGATATGCATGCCCGGGGCTACGTAGGCGTCCGCTTAGACTTGCCATTTTGTTCAATGGGTTCTGTCCCTCTACTACGTGCTAAAATGGCTTTATCATGCAACTCTCAAAAAAATTGATTGTTAAATTCGGACAGCATCGGAGATTCTCTTTTTTTTAAGGATTTTCTGTCGTGCTGAAGAAGGGAATCCTTTAAAATTCTTCTCAAAGCAGTAGAAAATTGTTTGAATGTTCTTTGATGAATGCTATTAGGCTGAGTAAAACGTGAAAGAGCATTTTCTGTTTGTACCTTAATCCTTACGTTGGGAGACGTTGTCTAGATAGGAGTCATTCTTATGGACAAGCCTTGGAATGTTAGTCTTCGAATTAAAATGCATCTATTACGGTAATACCTAAGCTTTTTAGGATCTTTACCACATCTTCAGAAGAATCTTTTTGAAGTAGTAAAAAGATAGTTCAAACATCGTTCCGATAGATTCTGGTAGGGTGCAGGCCGAATTGTCATCTCAACTGCCCTAGAAACTCAAGGGCAAGTCAAAGGCATGGCGTTTTCCGGAGATTCTTTGTGAAGGGAAGACCTTTGAGCTCAAATTACAATCGCGCAAGGCCATTGTGATTTTTGGTTCCCAAGCCTACATCTGCCAGCGGCCGATCTGGGAGTCTTTCCCCGTTGTGTAGGCAATCCCATATGGGAAGTGCTCAATGAAACCACATTGTTCATCTTGTTCTATATTGTCTTTTATTATATAATCGATTTACTGCTATATTCTAACTGTACTTCTTTTCTTCTTATTCTATCACTCTTTGCAGAAATCAGAAGAGGTTATAACCTACTGTCAACTTAGCTCCATTTAAAAGGCACACGTGAAACAGGAATTTTTTGGGATTTTTCTCGCGATCTGGTAAGGTACGTTCAATCCCAGCCGCCGGCACACATATTTTGCAGGGGAAAATCCTATTTATACTGGGGATTACGACAACAAAAGCATTGGATTTGGTCGAGTTGAAGCAATTGTGATGCTGATTTTGGAAGTCAATCGGAGCACATCAGTGAAATGTGCCGAGAAAGCCAAAGAAGACCGATTGATGAGATGTGACGTATGTAAATGTGCTCAGCCCGAGGAATGCGTCCCCAGTCGTTGATTTCAATCGACCTGGTCCCCTAAATTCTTATTTGTGGCACTTTTTAGGGATTTGGGAATATCAAAGGTACAATTGTATACCTAGCAGTTGGAAAAATCGCTATCCCCAAAAAGACGCAGGTACGGTAACTGGTAGACCTGATTACTAATAGGGCAATCTCTTCTTCTGAATGGACCTTGTTGATTCCAAAACGATGTCATATCATTTTTCACCGCTTTCGAAAACGTAAACACGCGGCTATTTTGAAGGAACACCCCATCCCACTGGCCTCCTCTTTCGCATCCTCCTGCCCCATGCTTTCTTTGAGAGAAAGCATGTAACATCCAGGTAGGTAAGCTTGTGGGACTCCTTAGACTTTAAAATTGAAGGTTACATCCGTACTGAGGTTATTCATTATCTTCAAAGCAGTTTCTAGAGATAATATGAAAATATTTTATAACTTTTTTGGTTTGGATTGGCTAGTATAACTGGTTAAGCGTTGAGAAGAGGCGAACAAGAATCCTTTGCGATGCCCAAACTGAACTTAATGGCCCAATTACTCCGTAAATTCTTAAGCCGAGCTGGAACTTCGATCCGTAGCCAAATCCGAGCCAGACTTTTACGATTATCGTTCATACAAAAAGTTCAATTTCTCGGCGAAATCTGATTTTCCTTTTTCGTTATCTCATTATTGCGTTGTTGTTTATTTCCTTAAGTCGTTTCTTTATCATGCAAATCTTCTGAAATTTTCTTGCGATATCACTGAAAACGGGCTGAAGAGGTATAGTGACATGTAGTGCGCTCTTGGAAGACATGGGCCGGGATCAAATCCCGAATACATTCTCGCGTAGGATGTCCAAACCTTCCATCACTCCAGGAAAATCGGTTGATTGGCACCAGACTGGAAGGAGAGGATAGAAGGTTTGAATTGTACATAGGCTTGCCTAAGTAACTGTGTTGGCCCCAAATACGTTCAAAATGAAACTTAGATTCTGAATAGATGTTGAATGCCGTGCTTATCCCAAGAACAGGATTTATAAGAGCGAAATACTTCATCTTCAGCCTTATTGCAAAAAAATTGATACCTTGCCTCATTTCCAGCGCTTTTCTCCTTTTTTTACTCCAGTTCGCGCATTACGTAACGTACTCGTTTATCCTTAATTGTTACTTCGCTTTTCAGTCGAATAAAGTGTTCTACTCAATTGACTGAAAAAAAATTGCGATCAAGAGTTTTTACATCAAACATCATTTCCAGTCGATGCATCTTTGCGAACGCCAGACGAATCTGACCAGAAGAGCCTGTTGTCAGCTAGTTCTACTTCTCAATGATACCACAAGAGTAAGTGTAGTACCCTACATTTCAATTTTCTTCTCATAGCTACTGAATACAAAATCGAACACATTAGGAATCTTATTTTAGACTCATATGGGTGCGCCATGCATTCAAACTTTAGCAGTAATCGTACACGCATGTCATCTGTGCATGTCATATAGGAAATTTTGCGTTTCAAAACACGTACAAAAAATTTTATAAGGAATTCTCGGGAGTTTCGATGTCCTAGTCCTCTCTGGTCCATTTGTCAGGTTGAACGAGATTATGTAGACAAAGCAGGTATTTGGACGAGATTTCAGTCTTCAGTCCTGCTAAACACGTCCTTTTAGTAGCATTGAAGGACAGTGGGCGTTATGACCAGTTTTTGAGACCTTCTGATGGTCGCCTCTCGACGTAAAACGCTCCACAAGCTTTATTAGGGACCACCGATCGAACAGAAATATTCGAAACCATTCCTATTGCCAAATCTGCCTTCATTGTCTCTGCTAGAGTTGATCAAACTATCACTGCGATGAGCAGGCATTAGGTATACACCCACTATGTACCTCACCCATCCCTTTGATAATTCAAATATCTTGCTATTATATTCGATCAGTCTCCAAATGCCGATTGTCCTTAGATAGTGTAACAATGTATCAAGTATGTAGGGAAGCATATTACGGTAACAAAGTCATAAGTACGTAAAAGGTAAGTTCTACTCACACTTATGACGACTAATAGCTTCAATTATTTTAGCTGAGGAACAAATGTGCCCCATTTCAGGTTCCCCTATGTGACGTTGATTTCTTGTCCCGAAATGACAGTTTTGATCAGGTTTGTACTTTGAGAACCTTTTTGCCTTCTCAGAAGTTCATTTTGTAAAGCTTATAGCGATATAGGTGGAGTCTCCTAAGTTCTGGTACCAATAAGTCCATTACCTCATGGTGTGGCAAATTCCAAAGTGTTGGTACCTACATATCTTAGGCCAAGCCCGTTCCTTTATAAGCCGAAAACACGCGAGAAAGTCGTAGAATTAGGAGATTTTCACTTTCGTCGAATCTCGAAAAAGGTTCCATACGACCACTGCATAGGGATTAGTGTCCTTTTTGATGGGTCATTTCGAGTTGGAGTATGGTAGAGCTCGTCATTTGAAATGGTATCCGAGAAAGCATCTCTAAATTAGGCAGCCATTGCTTTCAAGGGATAAGGAAAGGGAGAAAAAAGGAAAAAATCGATGAAAATGGAGCTGAAGAAAGCGTGAAGATTTCAGGAGAAGGTCTAGAGTGGGAAATTCTATTCTGGGGTATTGCCCAACTTCAAAATTCGGACCAAAATCGAAATTTCGAGTAAACTGTACGCTATAACTGCAAGCTCAAAGTTATTTTTCTAGTTCTACTCTCCTCCAATATTCCTGGAAGAGCCATCAGAGATTCAAGAAGATCATGTCACGTTTTTCTTGGGAATCTTCATGCTGATATTGGTAGCACTCGGATGCATGTGTACGTTAAGTCGACTCGCTAAGCCAAGGTCAGGAGTAATTCCGAGTGAAATGTGTTTTCACATTATTCCAAAGCCCTTCAACTTAATGAGGCCATTTTGTATGAGCTTGCGTGGTTAAAAACGTCTAACGACTTCATCTCTAATGCGCCTTGCTTTTGCTTGCTCTTCCAAAATACGACCCAATATCCTTCTTCATGACTGCATTATCACGGGGATGCCTAATGGGCAAAGATGGTGACGAAGGGGAGGACGACAAGAGGGGGGGGGGGTAGCGGGACGGGTGACGGGGTAATGGTGGAGTTTGCATGCATTGTGGGTGAATTAGGTAGCCAGATCCCGCTAGGAGGCCGAAAACTCCATTTTGTGAACTGGTCGATTACTGCAGAATAGTTTGAATGCATTGGGAGCAATTCTCCAAATCCAAGTGGGAGCCAAAGTCATGGCACAATCTGCAGAGTACCCATCGCATAATGAGTCAAACCCCCAATTTTTTTCTCCGGTCTTTTTTCATTTTTCTCTTTTTATTTCAATATTTTTTGTTTTCTGTAAATCCAAAGAGAACTCAAAACTTTATCATAACTCATCAGTGGTTATTATCACAACTTATTAATGGCAACATATCATAGGTGATTTCAGGTTTTCGGTAAGCTATGGCAATATAGCCAGCTACGATTTTATGATGTGGATGCCGGCGAAATCTAATCGCAGGTTTGTTAACAATCCAGAACCATCCGTATTTGGGTGCGTAGCTATATCAAGGTATTTCAGGTCATCAGTGCTCGTGTACCTGCGCAGGATTTCCTGTAGGCGACCATCAGTAACCAATCGAGATTCCAACATCAGTGTTGTATCATCGAATGTTGGGTATGATATCTCCTTTTCGTACTTTGTATATTTTTCAATTACAAATACTTTTTGTTAAAATTCGTTATTTCAGGCTTCTACCGTCGTACCAGACAGCCACTTCTACTCCGACTTCGACTTCTGTGTTGTCATCATTTCCACCGCCGCCATATACGGAAACACAGAGGCTGACCGGCGAAACAGTCTAACCTCAGCTTCCCTCTTCATTTTCTCCGATTTCTTATATTTCTGACAGTAACCATGAGATTTCTAGTGTTTGCTCACATTTTACTGTATGCAATAGTCATTTATGGTGATCCAGCTGGTTCCTGTATTCCTCACAGTAACTCGGGTGGTAGCCAACTGGAATCTATTACTGTATACCATAAGTAATTTGGGTTCCACAAAACCATTACCTCTTTCTGCCATTTTTTCTAAGTTGTATATTTATTGTATTTTTCACCGTAGTACGGGTTTAATTTTGTTTTACTATTGGTAGGATTCTTCTTTTTTACAGTCATACAGTGATGTGATATGTCTTTTTACTCCGTCAGTACGGAAGAACTCTTCTCGAAATTAAAAATTGCTGATTAACCAATATTTTCATACAAAAAGCATTTTCGGCTTAGGTTTTTTTCAATGAAAGAGGGGTAAGGGTAGTTTTACGATAGGGACTTGGCAGTGGTACATAGATTTGACACCATCAGGGTTCCCGAAGGTCTTCTGTGCTTTTTTTACCCAGAAGCATTTCTGGAGGAAGCGGAAGAGTGGCAAGGATGGAAGGGGAGAAAAGTGATATAGGAAACGAAGGACAATAACGTTGAAAATGGTTTATAAATTTTCGGATTGTTCAATCTGCAAAGTAGTGGCTAGGGGGACCTTATTGTTGCCTAGAAGCCCCCTAAATGAAAACTTCATGACCGACTATGTTTCTAAAGTAGTGTAGACCTGGGTGTGCAGAGAAAAATGTATCGAAGTAATTTTAGAGGCTGTGTGAGGTGCTGTTAGACATCCACATACAATTTTGAATGGAAGCTGAATGCGTGAAGTAGCCCTCAACTGGATCAGATTTCAGCCGCATTCGGTGAGGGTTGAAAATCTCATGACAGAGAAAATAACATAATCCAAGTGCCCTCTATTGATACTGGAGTTGATTCTATTGAAGACCTTCTTCTAGGCGTCAGGCGGCATTTGACCACAGATGGTGGTTGCGTGGTGGAGGCACTGACCCGTTTAATGTTTCGTGCGCCATTCTACAACACCTTCCATTAGCTGGGTGCTAATTTAGTCAGTCAACATAACCAATTACAGCTCTAGCAGTCATCACAGTACCGATCATTCATCATCTTTCGGTGGAACCAGACAGATCCTTCCAGTTCCCCAATGAAAGTAGAAAGAGCGTGCTGAATGCCGTTAAATAAACGAAATCAAGTCTACTTCTCCTGCAATGCTGGACATAATAGGCTATAAAAGAGTTCTTGGATGTTCTCGGAGTTCTTGAATGATTTTTTTACGAAATTTTGACTGAAATATTTCAAACATCGAGTATCAAAAATTTATTTGCTGTAGAAATCAATACTTTTCCTTCATGCAATGGGCAAATGTCAGGAAGTCAGAAGACTGCGACCCAAAGAAGTCACTAAGGGGTAAAGCAGGTAACCAAAAGGTGCAAGATGACAGATGATGATGATTGTAGAGTACTATAGGTAAGCAATCTGGAGTAGCCTGATTCAGCTATTTTCTGAAGAGTCTCCAGAGCGGTATTTCGAAGAGGGAGATTATACTGTAGGTACCCGTGTGATGGTCCGGACGCCTTTTTCTGACAGTCAAATGTTGGGGTGTGTCCTTTCGTACCCCAGCAAACTGATAAACGATTTCGGTGTTATGTCGGAGATTTGCATTCACTACAGACAAGATGTTCAGCCAGTGCTGGCCGTTCTAACGGTGCATGGTGCTTACAGCGAATAATCACGAATAAATTAAATTTCTACACTAGCGCTTACCCTCTAGCACCACCCTTGGAAACTGTTGGTACTAATTTTTGCTCAATCATTGATGATTAAGTTGTGAAAGCCAAAGTGCTTGTTCCCCATAACTCATGCTTTGACGCTCTAGAAGATGTTCTATGATACTTCCACCCTTGCTATGTGCTCGCATTGTTCATCAATAATTTTTGAGCTTATCATTTTTTGCAAAGAACTTCCTTGCCAGATCAACAGTGTTCCTTTTTGCTGTGATGAATGCCGAATTCAACGTCTTATATACCATTAAAAACAACATCGGTGAAGGGACCGCTACTTTAGTCAGAAAAGACAGTAGAACTAAAAAATTTGAAAAATCGTCTCTTATTTTTCACCCCCCGAAACGGGAATTTCCAACGACTCACGACAACGCAGAAGCTGCAGGGATGAGGAACAATGAAATTCGGATCTGAGGAGTCCAGGAGAAAGGTAGGGTGAACAGCTCTGTCCGTTTCAGGACAAGGAGCCATTCATCAGAATTGTGGTGCTGTGAGTAATTATAATGATGAGTTGCTGATTTATGCTTCTGCAGAGGGAGGAAGAGGGTGCGGGATCGGGTTTAAAAATAAAAAGGCTGATACTGAGGAGAGGTGAAACTCGGTGGCGAATACTTTGTACATAAACACCCCTCACCTCATTTGCGCTGAGATGTGAAAAACGTCTTTTCAAATCGCTAGATTTGGTATGCGCCATGCAAATGTTCACCACCTAAAACGTCAGGAGCTCTTGAACGGGTGGTGACGCAGATATGTGCGAATAGAACTTTTAGTACTGAGTTTCTTTGATAATCGGTTTGTCAGATCAATGCGGAGAAGTGATACAGAATTTATCAATAGGAGTGACCTCATAATGCTACCCCTTTATTTCGCGCGAGGCCTGAATTGAACTCCGACTGGACCTCAAGCTTTCTCGTGAAACCTAAAGTTCCAAGTTTCTAGTTGTCTAAGATAGCCAGGCCTTTCGCAAAACTACCGTGTAAGTCTTGGCTCACATCAGAAAATAATTTCTTAGGAAGCTTACATTTAGATGACATAAACTCATGTCATGCCGTTTTGCTCTAAAGAAATGCCCCAACTATTGGCGCTGATATATGCATACTCAGTGAGCCGTCGTCTGTAATGGACCAGGGAATTCACACATTAATCAGCGACGGTCCACTAAGTGGGCATCACTCGTCATCCAAGCATTTGGTCTCTCGTCTCTATAAAGTTAGTTATTCGGCTGCTAAAAAGTTCAGAATGGGAGTATATGTACGTGAGTAGGTGAGACCGTTCGCCCGCGTCCCTTTCCTGTTCCTAAACAAAAGGAAACCGTATGGGTTCCGAGACTACAGTAAATACCTAAGTGTATTTCAAATGAGAAGGTGAATGTTCCTCGAGAACCTCGATTTTCAGGTATACGTTCTGTAGGTGTTCACAGTCACATTCAATGAGCCGAACTTAAGCTGGTCATTCTATTCGCAGATCCTTGGGTTTCACACAAATTCTTCCCAACTAGTTTCTTGCTATAGTCCACAAAAAACCAGTCCTCAAAAACTCACACATAAGAGTTTTCTCCAAAAACTATTACCCTTAATTCCTTCAGAGTTCCCCTCTGCAATCATCCCCCAGTGGCTTCTCTTTTTTCTACTTTTTTTCACTTCTTCAGTTAAGCCATGTCCACACAGCTGCAGACTGCTGTCTGTCAGTCTGAACCTTCGAAAACGGAAAAAAGCTGAAAGGCTAGTAAAGAAGTTCGTTCCAGTCAACTCTTCAAGAACACGAAGCAGCTAGGTGATAGAGATTATTGTAGGAAACGTGTATAACAATAATTAAACAAACAGTTGTTTATATTCGACCCTTATTTTATATGACCTTGAAGGAATTTCGTGATGAAGAAGTTATTTTTTCCCGTCGTAAGTGGGCACCCGTCCTACTGAGCCCATAATAGAGTTTGTACAGGTAGTTCAAAGAACAGAAGGCACAAAAATTGTATTTACATTTGTGTCTACTGGTCGAGTTTCCGGGAGCTTTGGCTTAATCTGCTACCTTCGATAATATTGACGATTTTGGATATAGTCGTTCAGTGGCGAGGAGGGAAGTGCTCGTGAAGGACTATCCGGTTACCACTGAGTACACACACCCATATCCTCGTCATGAGCACCAATTACTTTAAGCGTCAAGCTGTTGGCACAATATCGATCCCTATTGATTTTCTCAATGACAGAGAAAACCTCTCGGAGAGATGAAAATCACTTTAAGAATCCTGATAAATCAACTCGGACTGTTTGAACCCTGCACCACAGCGATCAACCTCAAAGCTTCCTGCTTGAATGAGACCTGCGGTCTGTAGCAGAATCCGCTGCTGAAAAATGTGAAAGAATTTCTAATGTAAAAGGATTCCATCCGGGTTTGGATGAATTTCCTCCTACTAACATTATAGTATAGCTGAAGCCCCAGAAAGTGCCACTTTTCAGCATGTCGTATATAAATGACGAGAGGAGCCCTACGGTTCAGCTACAGCGATCGCTTTACCAGAGGCATCCTAACAGTCAAGCCTCGTAGGGCGACATCTGTTGTAGAATGCTTCATAAAAACAATATCGGCCACTCTGCTTTCCTAACAGAGGTCACTGAGCTTCATCTGAAAATCTGAGTAGATTTCATTGATTCACTTATCTTGGTACATGGAAATTTTGCTTAAAAGGAATCAAGGATAAACCGTTTACTTTCGAAACAAAAACAGTGCGAAGATTTCTAGGGAAGTTATCAGCTTAAGAAAGCAATAGTTATCACTGATCAGCAATCAAATATGAGTCATTATCACTTGCTATTTGCCTCCAATGATGTTCAAAGAGGGCCCTGGACACAAGAAGAGCCGTCTATGAGCACAATTTGCATACACGTTTATTTATTTACTTATATTTATTCATGAATACTTATTTATCGAATTTTTTGATTTACAGCCTAAATTCTTCCTCAGGGTTCCGACAATCCTCAGCCTATAGCCTTCCTCTATAGTGCTCACCAGAGGATCTATTTAGATGTATCGAGTTGCATTCACCGACCTTTACCCATACTCGATCGGTGGTCAGGATTTTACCTTTCGTAAATTGTTTCTCCGATATGCGCTGAATGTATGGGACAGGGGATTAACTGTGGCAAGATAAAACAGTGTTTCCGTGCAAAGCAGCATTTCCTTCCTGGTCCC